AGGGACCCAGAGAACTCTGTCAGGTCTCTGGGTGCTTGAGGGAATCGGGGAGAAGCACCCACTCAATTTATCCATTTTGGAATATGCACTAACACTTCTAATCACCTACTGTTCACACACCAAGGAAGCTCAGGGATGGCCTCCCAAAGAAGAGAAAAAAAGGAGAACCACCTCTATAAGCCTGTTGAACTCCTTTGAACACCACTACAAATTGTAGCTTTACCTTTTAATGGCATTAAAGTACAAAAGGAAAGCAAGTATATATCCTGGAAACTCGGTTMACACTGCTTAGTGCCAATTCCTAACAATTGCTTTGTTATGCTGTATATAAGGAATAAAGAAATTGTCTTCTAGTCAGAACTTAAGTCATGCAACTAAATAGGAGGCAATGTGGGTAGGATCAAGTCCTCACCCTCAAACCCTAAGCCACACCAAATAATTTTTCTAAGCAAAGTCATCAAGTTAAAACAGCAGCTTACTCCAGATCTGCATAATTTTGTGCTATAAGTTAAGAACAAATGAGGTCTTAAGCACTTTTCTAAAGGATGTATATGAACTGAAGAAATTAGAGGGCTTTGTGTTGCTAATCATGGCTACAGTTACTAAGTTCTGAAACAGTAATAAAATCTAAATCTTCATTAAATTTATGAGAAAGTATTTATGGCATGCAGATTTCTTTTTATTGCATAAAACCACTCACTCTGCTTTGAGTTGCATTTACATTCCTTTAAAAAAAAAAAAAAAGTTCTTTCAACACAGAGCATACAAATGCATTTGAGACTTGATGGTGCAATTTAACCAGGGAAGACATTCCGAGAAATGGAAACCACATGTTCTTTGGAGAAATTAAATCACAAAGATAGGTTTTATTAAGCTCTGCAACATCCACTTCCCAAAGCATGGTCTCCATGYGTTCAACAAACATGACATCAAGTACAAAACATTAGGGATCCACACTTACTGGGCTGGCATGCTTATTAAAGGTTTGGAAAGTGACTGTAGCTTGTAACATTCCCATGTGCAGCTGTTTTACTCTGTCTCTCTGCTAATACTATCTYAACAGCTCTCTGGAGCAATCTTAGCTCAAGGTCTGGATGGATTCTGGTTTAACACTGATATTTTAAGAATTGCCACCACAAAAGGAGTGTGTTCAGCCTCAGACTCCCACCAGAAGGAAACAGGGTGGTCCATCAGGTCTGGGGAAAGCCCAGTTTGGATGGCAAGCATTAAATTGAWGAGCCAGGCAGACACAAATGAATATTATTGCAGCCACAAGGGACCATAAGATAAATGACCAGACTGATGTTTCACAATTTACAGCTCTTATTCCAGTAACTAGCTTTTGAATAAAGCTAACCTTACAAAAAGGTACCAAATACTGGACCAAACACCTCTAGATATGGAGGATCTGTCCCCAGAGGTTAACCATCTTCTCTGCTCAAGATATCCCATACTTTAAATTAAATTTGTTGGCTTTGACTTCTCCTTCCTTACGGCTCCCTCCCCTAGCAGGCATTCAGCACCCAGGGTTTTCTGGCCAGGAACATACTCAAAGTAACAAAGTTACTTCTGCAGCATCTCATAAAAGGCTTAAAACAAATTATTGGCTAGGCTCCATAGACATTCACCTCASATTTCAGGTTCTGTGGATATTTTCAAACATAGTTCTCATACTAGAAATGCCATGCCATATACAAGAGTCAAAAATAAACTTCCCTACACCCGTTTCCCTATGTCATCACATTACGAGAACATGCTGATCAGAGCTCTTGCATGGACCACTAAATTCTTCCCTGTCTCTGGCAGCACAGCTTACATTCCTCCCTCCTAAGCTCTGCATATGTGTGAATCTTCTTCAGAGCTCAGGCAACYCAATCCATTCTGTAAGAGTGAAAAACGATGAATCAGTGTCAGAGCTTGAAATTATCCCCACGGAGATGCACCAAGGAAAACCCAATTCTGTTACAATTCCCTGATAGCAACTTCTRCAATACAACCGTTTTGTGTGTTTTAAACAATTTAGTAGGTATTTTACTGGTAGTGCTATTTGTGTGTGTGCAGTAATATACTGCAAGAAATCATTTGATCAATAAAATTTCTTAACAGAAAGAATATTTGACAGAACCTACCTTCYTGTGAACTGTGCAAACAAACTTTAAAATTCTGTCATTACACAAAGTGCCTCCTAATAACATTTTTCAATTATTTTACTGAGAACTGACAGCAGAATGCTCAAATTCATGCTATCTGCATCAGCCATTCATCTTAATCAAATATTGGTTCTCTGACCCTTTGAATATTACCTTAAATCTGAAGGTATGGAGTATTTTTACATGGCAAATGCAGCAACATATTCTACCCTATCTTTTCTCTGGTTTCATGGGAAGACAAGACCTGCACCTGCCAAAGGTCAAACTTTGTATCCAGGAGTTGTCAGAAAGCAGCAGACCCCTAAAGCATGAAATTAATGTAAACACAGTGAAAAACAAGTGGGATACAAACTCTTTCAAAGCTTCTCCAGTACCTGATGCCCTAAATCTCCAAGGCCTTCCTATGCTATCTTCATTTTCAGTCACCAAGATCTTCCTTACTGGGTCCCAAAATCCTTTCTGCAGGCCTAGGAAATGCCTCCAGAGAACAATTCAGTCTTCTCACCATCACTACAGAGTTAAAGTGTGTTTATAACAATGCTGTGCCAGCATCTCACTCTTGAGAAGCCTTCTGAAAACTTCCAACCCAAATTTGTTCTAGAATGAGTGTCCAAAGAAAAGGAGAATCCAACTCCAGAAATGCCTTACCTAGGTCATAGGTAAAAAAAAAACGAAAAAACAACCCCAACCCAAAATGAAACCACCACAAGGTTTGTTAACACAAAGTTCTTCTCACTTGTGCCAACAGTTGTGTTAATTTGTTGTTCATTACTGCTCCTCAAATCCAGTCAGATTTTAAGCAATACTTTTCAAAGTTGGATAATAATAAGAGATAAGCAGAGTAAGAGATCACTGTGGGGTATATCACAAAAAAAAAAAAAAAATATACCTGTGATGAATATTACCATGGAAATTGAATTTTCTTATCTCTCCAGGCTTMTAAACATCTGGGGCAATTTTGTGATTCTTAAACTGATTCTGTTTCTTATTCATAATAGATAATACACCAGGGAATTRTGCCCAATTAAGGAGCACAAATGTTTGCTCCATGTCTACTGCTAACATCTAAATTCTAATACTACTTCAGAGCAGGAAACTAGAAAAAACATTTTAGAGCCATTTGAGATCTTACACTTATTATGATACAGCTAACATATTGCCACTGAAGTTGATCTGGAAACAGATTTTCCAAGTAAAACACAGAGTATAAGGCATAATTAGGAAATCCATAGGTAACATTTCCTGATTTTCAGAGAGCGTCTGTTCTCAATTATGGATTTTTAAAATGGGAAATCAAACTGAACATTTAAAGTAATTACTAGCTAYAGGTAAAAAATGTGGGACAAAACAACTCGGTTCAGAGTTGTAAGCATGTAGAAGCAAAGTCACTGCTGTCAACTTCACTTTCTGAAAAACTTTCAATCACTTAATGAAAATTACATGAACCCAAAGATATTTTTAATCTTCATGTCCTCTCATCTCAAGTCAGCAACTGCCCAAATCCTTAATTTGATACCACTAGGACAAGCCTTTAAGTGAAGGGGTTTTTTTCTCTGTGTTGCACTCAGTCTGCATTTCACATCCCCTAAAGTGTAAGGGAGCTAAGTATGGAACAGGGAACATGCACTGCTATAAGAGGTAACACAACCACCCTAACCAGGAATGACTACGGAGACAGCTCACCAGATGCT